GTGTGTGTTTTTATGTGTGCGTGTGTGTGTGTGTGTGTGTGTATGTGTGCGTGTGTGTGCGTGTGTGTGTGAGTGTGTGTGTGTGCGTGTGTGTGTGTGTATGTGTGCGTGTGTGTGCATGTGTGTGTGTGTGCGTGTGTGTGTGTGTGTGAGTGTGTGTATGTGCGTGTGTGTGTGTGTGTGTGCGTGTGTGTTTGTTCATAAACAGTAGGAGATATGAAATAAACGAGCCACCACGATACGTGACAGCTACCGTTAACTACAAAGAAACGACCACACGGCCAGATGAAAGCGCCGCTGCTGGAACACGACTGCTCCGCTCGTGGCTCTGGTGGATGATCTCAGGGCTCCTGCTGGTTTACGGCACGATGCTGTCATCTGTAACTGACACTATGTGCTACTGGTGTAGCTAGCTAATTAGCTATTTATTAGCCTTTAGCAACTGTTTATTTGACAAGTTAAAGGGACACTTTTTGGCTTGCTATTAGCACCCCTAGTGTTTGTTTTATTCGCTGTCATTAAAACCAAACTGAAACTGGTGTTGGGTCTAACAGCTGACATGTCTGCCAGCCTTCATTAGTGTCTACAGGATGGATCACACAAATCAGCTGTGTTCACGAGCTCAGACATGCAGGAAACGAGTCTCTGGGCTCTTGCCATTCAGAAAAACTCTCCATGTTGTTTCTTGTTTGACTTCTGTTGTGGAAAGTTTTATCCAATAGAAACGCAGAACAGAAGTGCAAACCAGCGGGAGAATGTTGCCGAGGATCACGGAACGATGTTTGCAGGGTGCTGCCTAAACATTCTGCTCGATGACTCCAAAAACGCACACAAGTTAGGCCTCGTATTCAATGTGACTAATCAGCTTTTCCAACCGCTTCTGCAAAGCTGCAGTAATGTTAATAGTTGTAGAGATGAGCCACCGTTACTCAGTAATATGAATGTCTCGCCTCTGATTGGCTAACAGCAACGCGGCTCTTACGCTGCCTTCGTTCGCCTCTGTCTTCAGTAACAAACGTAACGATGATGTTTAATCTCCTGGAACAACACAAGACTGAGCACGTTCCGCCATGCTGCAGAGCTGCTGTTGCTAATGGTTACAAGCCAAGGCTGTTCATGCACACTTGTCTGAAGTTGTGTACTCGCGTCCTCGTGAAACGTCAACGACGGCCTGAGGACTGTTCCAATCCCAAGTATGCATGAAGGCAAGTTCGCTCTAAAGTTCCCGGATGTGTTCTTGCTCCGCCCACCGTATCGAGGATGCTTCAATGCATCCTTCTGCGGCCTTGGGACAGCAAGTTTCCCATAATGCACTGCATCGCAAACCGAACGTCAGAGGAGAAAGCTAACAACTCATGTTTTATATTAGAAACATAAATAAAACAACATAAAGTTGTCTGTTATTGAAAACAATCGTGTGGAAACTGTAAATTTTGCTGTGTGAGTTTGGGTTTTACTTTTCATGATCCCTCAAAATGCTAATTAGCTAACCCACTATCAAAATAAAAGCACCGTAGGTCTGTTCTGATGAAAAATAAACGTAAGAGCGGGAAATGCCAGTATTTCAGTCGTTTTGATCAAAGGTGGTCCAAATATAAC